AGAAACTAAATAGACTTTGATATAATATTGATAATAGAAATAATAGAACTTGGTAAATTAAACAATATGTAATAGATAATTGTGAATCTAACTAAATCTGATTCTCGCTAGTTAATACTTTATTTTATTTCGTACCTAAGTCTGACTTCGCTTTTATATAATTAACTGAATTCGGTTTTCTATAAGATTTGATTCTTGGTAATCGTTGCGGCTCTTCACAGCGAAAACTGTTCCGGTTATACTTATCCAGGAGAGTTCTAGCTGGCTCGACTTCGAAAACTGTTCTGCGATTTTAGCGAACTCCGCTCGGCCTTTTATACTCGCCAGCCTGGCGAATTCTCGGAAAACCCCCATAACGTCGAAATATATAATTATCGTATAAATTCGTAATTAGACATTAATTGTACAAACGAACGATTTAATTACATTATTAATATCACATTCTACATAATGGTTTATATTCCTGACATAAAAATAGTAATTTAATAGAGTTTTAATGAAATTGCATTTTCTATCTCTTTCTATGTACTACGCACGACTTCTATACGGATCGGAGCTAAATGTATAAGCATAGGATGCTTCTAGAACATTCCATTGAATAATATTATAATTTACAATATACTCTGATTAACTGATTTGCATTAACTGATTTGTTCAACTAATATTTTTTGATAATTAATAATATCGAAATTATAAAATGTATTTCTATCCTTCTCTAAGCTTTGCTAGGATTCCAGGAAATTCGGGGCTAGCTTCGCAGCACGTAGGCACATAGCATTGCGGAATACATTTATTACAATAGCCTATAAAATAATACATTAACTTGTTTTAAATAAATTAACTTAACATTTGATTAATTTAATGAAACATATTACTCTTGTTGGATTGTGTGGATCAGTAAACAACACTGAGGTTAATATTAATAATGAATATATTTATATGTAAGTGGCATAAGCCATAGTCGGTAGTGCGTCCGCTCAGCTTGGAGTCTTACAGGCAAGAAAAAGTGTGGAGTACAGTACAGCATAGTCTGACTCCACGAAGTATAGTATGTGCTTAGAGTATATACGCGAGGCATGCGCACTATGCTCGCGTTCGCTCGAGCTTGTCTCGTTGTACGAAATCGTCGACAACCAGTAGATGGCGCGACGAGTACCATTTTGTGTATTACGACTATTGTAAATTCACATATTACAACAACTCTTTTTAAATTAGAAACATAAAATAATGATTAAAATTAAGAATATTGATATATATATATATATATATATATCTAATGATTACCGACTGTCAAAGCTAAATACACAGGATAACTGATATATGTATAATGTACCGTCGGTAACAGTTTATTATTGTCGGTAACTAAACTATTGGTGGGTAATTGAATTGAGCACAGAACTGCCATGTTGGTGATGAAAAGTAAAAAAACTCTGCCAGGGATGTTACACCTTCCCCCTTATGAAGGTCTCTGGTCCTCCAGACACTGTTGTTTGGCGAATTTGTCAATTATGCATTTCGTACAGCGACAGTTGTCCTTGCTGTTCCTTGGTGATACAGCTCCTAGCCCGAACAGCCATAGCGATTTCCAGTATTTTCGCCTTGGGTCCTGAGGATTGTCTATTTGTTTATATTCTTTGAACGGGGGATCGGGTATTTCAATTTCGATCAGTTTCCACTTATTAGTGGATTCTTCCTGAATTATATGAAAATTATGATCTGTTTAGTTATATATGTGTATATTTTAATATATTTTGATTTACCTGGCTTAAATTCTTCTTCATTTTAGCTTTAAGATTTCTTAATAAGACTTTCTTGCCTGCTCTTCTCGACATTTCGACAATACTAATATGGCGTCGTTTTGTTCATTGAAGCATTGTTAATAAAATGTATATATTATTTATGTCCTTTCCCTTTTTTTTTCGTGTTATTAATTTAATTATACGGGTAATAAATTTGTACACCGTTATTTATCAGAAATAATCAACAAAATGAATTTATTTATATAATACAAAAAAAATAAATTAAAATTTCTCTTCTTTCTTCTTTTTTTTTTTTATTTTTTACAAAATATAGTTAAAAATATATATATCTTCTTAATGAATATTGTAGTGAATTTGGGGCCCAATGTTCTCTATGTCCACGATCGGATATATGTCTTGTATATTTAGCTCCCGGATATTCCTGATGCACTGCATGTGGAGACCCCGCGGCATAGCTGCCCTGGCGATGAGGCACTCCTGTGCTGAATAGTTCCAGTCAGCCTTCTTCGGGAATGCTGGCTGTAGCCCGGTGTGTTTTCCCATTATTGATATTGTCACGAGTAAAGCTAGCAAAAACACTGCGATGCTGCGGGTATACTGTCTGATGCTCGAATGCCATGATTCTGCTCTGCTCACGCTTATATTACCAGGGTTTGTTATGGTTATAGATGGGGGTGTTTCGACTGGGGATGTTTTAGTTACGATATGAACCGCCGCGGTGGATGTCTTTTCAAACATTCTCACACAATCCGTTCGTATCGCTCTCGTCTTTCCACTCACGCTTGTCTTAATGACATCACTCGATGACACTTCTACGACCTCGTAGGGTTCCACGTGTTTTCTCTCATGTCCTGAAGTACTTAAAACTATGACGCGATCGTCTACCTTAAAGCTCGCTACGTGTGTCTGAGTGTCTCGATACTGACGAGCCCTCGTGTTACGGCCAGGGGTGTCCAGTGAAATAATATGCTATTTCACTCGCCTCGCTGACTGTATCCTTTAATTATTTTTGCTCAGCTTTCGGGTTAGCGTAGCTCGCCGGCTTACGTCGTGGCCCTGGGTCCCGTGGAAGCAGCTGTCGTTGGAGACGTTGAAGTATTTCTATGTCCTCGTCGTAGCTGTTAGGCTCGTCTTGCGTGATTTATCACGGAAGCTCGGAGGTTGCGATAGTATAATTCAAGTCGTGCAGGTATTAAAGATTGAAGACAACAGTATAATTATATAATTGTATATTCTCCAATAATAAACCCTCAATTGTATATAGGTAGATATGTGTATTGCTCCTTTATAATATATTCTTATGCTTACTCGCTCGACGAAATGGGTAGTCGTTTACGACTCCCTAGGAATCAGGCTGGGCTGATGTGATACTGGATGACTGGACGGGCCTCAGGCAGGATTACCTAGCACTGAGGTTACCGGTATGCAGACTAGGGCGGACTGGCGCCAACTGACTCTATACGCCAACTGA